GGGGGGAATTGTGACATCCTGGTGCCAGAAGTCACAAGAACGGACCTAACAAGTATCCAGACTAAATAAAGTGACTTATCATTATAGTCATATAAAAAGCTTCCCTACTATTAAGTCACATTATGTAAGAGCAGATAGACGAAGATATTATTTACCGAATCGGTTATGTTATGCTGCAATAAACAGAATGTTTAATGAAGAGTTGAACAACGACGAAATTCAAGAACTTGAAATTTCTCATCAGTTTTATCAAAAAGTGTTCAATAAAAATTTCAATTATGACTTTTATAAAACCCAAAAAAACAAGTAGGAAAATAGCGTACAATTATACAAATATTTATTATTTATTCAGAATTAATATTTTTTATATTATTAAAAAATTATAATATTTTAAATTTAGATGGGCGCTATGTGTTTAGTGTAAAAATTGGTTACCAGAACAGAAGGAGGCTAGGAAAAACGAGAGAGTTGAGCATTCAAAAAACAAGAAAGCTTGGAGAAATTTCTTTAAGGGGACCGACCCATGTTAAAAGCTTAAATTCAAAAAATAGCTATATAAATCGAAATAGTGGAAATTTCTTTTTTGGGATAGTAAAATATGTTCATTAGACACCAGATTGACCAAAAAAAACTTCTACCCAAGCTCTGAAATGCCAATTACGCCTATTTTTTCATAATATTAAATATTATAATACTCATCGTCGTAAGTGCTCATCCAGTAAAATAGTAGAAGAATTGAATCTACCACTTCTATATGACCTTTATCCTCTACTTCGATATGAGGTAAATCGTTTATAACTCGTCCTTCTGTAATGGCCAACTACCTTTCTTCTTCAGCAGTTTTTTTCATTAAATCTTTTGATGATTGATCCACATAAGGCAGAAACTTCTTTCTGAGTTCTCTGCATGATTTGTCTGACATACAAGGAATATTCAACCCGTTCAAAAATTGATTGGTTCCTTCACACCCGATTCCAACTGCAACTTTTAGAGTCACCATCCCCGATGTTCTTTGCGTATTTCACTTTGGTAATTTTTCTGAACGTTTAGACATTTTAATGAAACTCAATACTAAACTAAGAGGTACCACATCTTCGAGTATTAGTACTATTTTGAGAAACTTCAGATTCGATATTTTACGACTTATGATTGAAATATTGGCCGTGATAGCTCCATTATACCATAAAATTTTACAATTCCGTGCAGCCCTACGACTAGTATTTGCATTGCTAGTACAATGCAATGCGACTATTAATTTCATAACCTTTATTAATTAAAGGACAACTTGATATTTCTGTTTTATCATAATTGGTACAAGTCACAACCAATTTAAATTCCAAGCTTCTCTTGCTACACTTCAGATTTATAACTTTTTCACACTCGATAACGTAACCAAAAAACAATATTAGCGGAAACCTGTCAAAAATGGAAATTGACTTCGTAACAAAATTACTTTAATTGAATAAAAAAAGAGGTGTGCATCGGCCGGGAATCGAACCCGGATCGCCCGCGTGGCAGGCGAGCATTCTACCATTGAACCACCGATGCTTATATTGAAAAGGTCGAAACTAAAATATTTGCAATATATAACATATTTACCAGGTATACGATTGTACAGAGCGATCATTCCAATCATACATCAAATTCTAGCGCTTATCTGCTCTACTTGACCAAGTTTGAATTACAATTTAATTTGGGCTATCCAGCGGTAACACGTCTAACTATTTCACGTAAATCAATATATATGAACAAAATATTTTTATTTTTTTAGTAGTGGCCCAGTACTTATCCGAAACTATTCCAATATAATTGGCATGGTATTGACGCGGCATTAATTTATTTGAAATACTGGCGCAGTACTGGGTCACGACACTGGGTTAAACGATGCCGCCGCCACGCCCCTTGTCAATTTGGGTACTAGAGGAAAGGGAGGAATTTTGAAAAATAACATGTGTTTTCATTCAAATATGAAAAATAAATATTGTGCACCAGTTTAGTATGTCTAGCACTTTTAAGTGAAAGTTCATACCTTCATATGATTTCGACAATTTATAACGTATTGAAGAGTCATCTGACCTCTGAGAAAAAAGAAATAGAAATCCCGAGGACGTCCCCTTTCGCATTGCGCTGTCCTACGTGTATGGAAAGTTTCTGCTGTGGTGCTATATGCAATAATATTATTGTTAAAATATAATTGAGGTGATAGAAGCTGGACTAAAAACGAAAAAATACTGTATCGTTAGTGGATGTGATACTGTAAAAAAAGTCGTAATGGCAATATTAGTTTTCATAAGCACAGAAACAATGATTACGTATTAATCTGTTTTATTTAATATTAATCTGTTTTATTTATAAGTACGTGATAAATTCAAATAAATGAAAGCAGTAGAAAAATTGGGCCAGTTACGTATTATACAATACTAGACCGACTTTCAGCGCGCACTCTTTTCTTATCCCATTTTGCCATTTTTCAATATATAAAATGGAAAAATGAGATAAACGAAAATTATGTTATAAACTGTGAACATCAAAATTAATCTTAAGCCGTCAATATGTTAATACTCCACTTTCTCAACTTACTACAACACTCGTATTTGCGCGCCAGTAAACAATTGCAAGCTATTGAACAACCAATCACAGCGCTTATAAACTGCTCATGCTAAAAACCTCACCACTCGAATAGGATAGGATAGGATAGGATACATGAAATAATTATTAAAACAGTTGAAATGTCAGATTTTTTATACATTTTAAGAGTCACAGCTATCAATGATATTAACACCATGAATTTAAGGAAATTCCTTTGCATAAATTGATTTCAGGAAGTAATACTGTCGAAAAAAATTTTTTTGGCGAAAAACGTTTTTCATAATCTAATGTAATTCTCGTATATCCACCATAGTTAGAGGGTCGGCAGCGAGCAGGGGAGGACGAAGATTCGTAGCATTACATGCATTATGTGTGGACCACACATACACGGACTCTCGCACAGTATTCAGTGGCACGCGTTTTGTCGCTCAATTTCACGCGTGCTTGCTCGCCACCCATGCTGCAATGATAAAATATGGATCTCTGCCATACGTACGCATCGCACTGGCTTTTCTTGGACACGCGCTCATTTCATTTTAATTCGCGGTGTGCCTAGCTGCGTGCACAGGTGGAACAGCTGAATCGTGCGTTGCTAACCGATCTTCTGGCGAAGCATCAATTATTCACTCGGTCGCGTGCTCGCATTCGATCCTAATTGACGATTCGCGTTATATATAACGCTATATGTGTTATGAATATTACAGGCCTCGGCGGCACGTCGAGTGGGAAATTTTTCACGCAAGCTCGACTTTTCCTTTTTGCAAGCTCCGCTGGCGTATAATATAATATAGGGTTTAGCTACTGCCTCGCTCGCAGAGTCGCTGCAGCGCAGCACCAGCCAGGCAGAGCAGCGCTTGCGAGGCAACTAATTAACGGAGTCGAGCTCGTTAGACATCGCTTTAGCGCTCGCGCACACGCCGTAACTTTGCCTTCTTGTCGTCGTAGTTCTGCTATAGGGTGCATCTCTCTCTCTCGCTCTTGAAGCCCGGCGAATCGAATTATATGACCTGTGCGCGCTTGCGAAATTGCTTTCGTGAAACTATATACCCTCGCCCGCGCCCGCCCGCCCGTCCACCCGTGCGTTGCTCTCTCTCGAGCTTTAGTTTCGATCGATCTCTATTTCTCCGTGCACACCAAGAGGCTTGGTTACTACTAGCTGTGCTGCCCCTATTGCTTTGCGGGGTCATTTTTTTCGAAGGACATAATACACCAGTCGACAGACGCGACGTATTGGCAATAATCGTCGAGGCTTATATGCGGGAAAACACCAAGCCTCGATATCGAGTGCATCTAATATACGCGGTATATTTCGCGATGACGAGACCCCATACACTCGGACATACACCCCCGCGGCCAAGTTCGTAATTAGGTCGATGATATTGCTCGATGCAGACGCACTCGAGAGCGCCGTGTACGATTCGAGAAGTCAAAAAGTCGCGACGAAAGTAGACACGGCATAAAGACAGATCTCGATTATTAACTCTTTTGTTCTCGAGTTGACACTCGCGCGTGACAGCTCCAAGAGTTTGGACATTTTTCATATGCTAGCTCGAGGATAAAACGAACTGCGCGCCGCGTGCCGTAGCCAATTAGCCGAGGATATATCTACGCACTCGAGCGCGATATCGTCCATGGCATCTGCGTTATAATAGACGAGCGCAAAATGCTGCCGCCGTCTACCCCTCCGCCTCCTTCTATTACTACTACTACTACTACTCTCTACAACTATTCGCGCGCGCACATCGACTGACTACCACTCGCTCGCTCGCTCTTTTTTTCCTTGTGTTTCATTTATTCAAGCGAAGCTTTTGCCCGGGTTCCGCGCGCACTAGCACTGCCTCTGCTTGCTTGCTTGCGCTTGTGCTTCCTAGTGCACTGCATAGCACATACAGCAACTGCGCGCAGAAAGAGAGAGAGAGAGAGAGAGAGAAAGAGAGAGAAGCTCTTTCGCTTTATTTCGCTCGAGAGAAATAAACCACGTCTCTGCTGCTGCTAGCTGGATGGCTGGCTGGTTGCTGCTGCTGGCTGCGTAGAAAGCCACTAAAGTAGACTAGTTTTCCCGGTCGAGTGGAGTCAAAGTAGCCGCGGAAAAGAAGGTAAAAGTTTTTCTTTTTTTTTTTTACTTTTTTTTTTATTCGCCGAATAGCCTTTGGCTCTCTGCGCTCGTTCGTGCGGCGGTCTTTTGCGCGCGATATGCGCGCAACGCCAGACGCCTAACTACCTTGCCTCCATCTACTGCCGCTACAGCTGCTGTTGCTGCCACTGATGTTGCTGCTGCTTACTTTTTACTCTTGTCCGTTACAACCGGCGAGTTTTCACTGCGTTTTCAGCGTGCAGCTGCCTGGGGTGAGTCTACAAAAGTGCCGGGGATGTGGATGGAGGGAAAAAAAACTTGTTGCTGAATACGAGAATTAACTGTACAAAATATATAAATACTTTATTTTACAGCCACCACATTCTTATGTAAAAATATAAATTGCGATTTATAAATCGTACAAACGTAACATCGATATAAGGTAAAGACACAAGTCATATGTCATTCCCCAAACAAGAAGTAATTGTATAAACATTTAAAAAGTGAAAAAAAGTAAGCAAATGACATCCGCACTTAAATTGTTAAGGCTAATAAGAACAAGAAAAAAAATAGATGAGAAGTACAGCCTATGATGTATCAAATAAACAAAAAAGAACCAGCGTTGCTTCTTCGTTTTCGTTTAGAGATTGGCCGAGATGGCGGAAGCCGAGAGGTTCACGCCGTTGGCGCGCAGACCGTCGGCCAGACGACGGCCGAGCTCGACGTCGACGTTGGAGAAGTTGCGCACCGCCCGCTCGGCGATGAAGGTCGAGGCGTTCTTGATGTGGCCCACGAGGTTGCTGACGAGTCGGGCCTGCTGGTCGGCGGTGAGGACGTTGCGCCAGAACAGAGTGGCCTGACCGTAGTCATCCTCGTTGACGGGCTCGTGGCGGTCGACGTCGCCGCTCGCGTGATAAGTCGGCGACTTGACCTGGGGACACTCCACGGGGCCGCTGAAGCTGTTGGGGAAGTAGTTGGGCGCTCCGCCCTGATTGTTTATGCTCATGAAGCCGTCGCGCTGGTAGTTCACAGCCGGCATCATCTGCAAAGTTCGATCATCGACGTTGTTGGTCGTTAAATACACGCTCAGTCACACGTCACAAGCAGAGAGGAGAGGCGAATATAAGAGGTAAAAGCACTAAAGAGAGAGAGAGAGAAAGCCCCCTTTGATGCGATGCGAAAATGGGTCAAGCGACTTTTCTCTGGCGCGCGGGCGCGCTTAAAAGGGAGGCTGCTGCTGCCTGCCTGCCACCGTTACAGACCAGCAACGCCTCTGCGCCGCTACCGTTATAACGAAAGAAAAGATTCGAGCTAGGCCAAACGTCCCATTCTTATACGGGGGAGGGCTGCAATTTAACTTTCCGAGCGTGTAGCTGCTGCTGCCGCTGCTACTGCTTCTCTACGGCCACGTTAGTATCTCTCTAATTAGGTTACAAGTTCGACGCGCGGCTCCATTATCGTTGCAGCTATAACAATAATTACTTCGAAGGACTTTTCTGGCAGCGCAGGCAGCAGCAGCAGCAGGAGGAGAGAGAGAGAACTTTTCTTTTCCGGACTTTGCAAGCCTAGAGTCTGTGCCGCGCTCCTGCTGCTGCTGCCAGTCGATTAATCGCGAACGAGGGTATTACGAGCTACTACCACCACTACTACGAATGGGGCGCAGGGGTGATGTATTTAGCTATAAAATATAGTTTCGCGAATATATGTATACGCACGCAGGAGCAGCAACGGCAACATCAGCATGCATAACTGCTCTCGGTGGCGCGGCGCGCGCGTGCGAGCGAGCTGTCTGACTTTGGCGAGTGAATTAGCGAGCTTGAGTTTCATTGTGCAGCTGCTGCTGCCGCCGCCGTTGCTGTCGAGCATTTACATATTACACGTTACATATATATACGCGAGCATTCAAAAGGCCGTGGCAAAGCGCGCGCCCGTATATTATATTTGCCCACCTCAACCTGCTACTACTACTACTGCTACTATTACTACTACCATCGTTGACGTAACCGAAGCTTTACACAGAAAAGCGAATATTGCACTGCTGTAGGCCAATTTTTTTTTGATGTCGACTACCGAAAAATAAAAAAAAAGGGCGAAAAAAAAGTGACGCGCAAAAGAGAGAGAGAGAGAGAGCTTTTTGCCAGCTATCGATCCGTGACGAAAGAAGCCCGCGTGGCACAGCGCGTTCGCCAAAGGGATATTAATATTTCGCCCGGCTCGGACGGCCTCGTTTGTACGATTGCTACTATGCTGCTGCTGCTGCTGGCTGTGCAAAATATGTGCAGGGTCCTCTCGGCGAGCGCGGCAGGTACTCGTATCGAGGGAGAGAGAAAAGCACTCGATGGCAAAATGATATAGCGGCGGGGTGCAGTTTCGGAACCGCCCTCCCTACTCGCTGTACAGGCCTCTCTCTTCGATAAATGCGGCATTTGCCGAGCGATTAGGTGATGCTGCTGGTGCAACACTTACCTTGTAGGGGCAATTGACGGGTAACTGCAGATGGTTCGGTCCGAGGCGGTGCCTGTGCGTGTCACCGTACGAGAACAGTCGGCCCTGCAGCATCTTGTCGGGGCTGGGCTCGATGCCGGGTACCATGTGAGCCGGGTCGAAGGCCGCTTGCTCCACGTCGGTAAAATAATTTTCGGGATTCTTGTCGAGCACTATCTTGCCGACCGGTATCAGTGGGAACTCCTTGTGCGGCCACACCTGTATGACACAAAAACAAAGGACAAAAAAGTTAGAACAAAGTCTGCAAATTGTGTGTCTTTGTGCAGTGTGCAATTCAATGCGCGCTAACGAGCTATTGTTGTGTGCGTGCGCGTGCCATTGAGCGTTCGAAATTGCTCGCACCTTTGTCAGATCGAAGGGATTCCACTTGAATTCCTCGGCCTGCTTCTGAGTCATTACTTGGATGGAGAACGTGTAGGACGGATAGTTGCCGGACGAAATCGCGTTGTACAGGTCGCGAATGCTGTAGTCCGGATCGTTCGCCGAGATTTCGTTGGCCTTCTCCTGGAAGATGTTCTTGATTCCTTGGTCCGTCTGCGCAAAGTGAAAAATGTAAAAATTATGTAAGAGACAGACGCTCGTTAGTGGAAATTTAATCACAAAGGGTAATAAAACGATGACGAAGAAAAGAAAAGGAGGATAAACGTGGGAATATTATATACCTTGTAATGGAATTTACACCAGACCCACTCGTTCTGGTCGTTGACGAGCTTGAAGGTGTGCGAGCCGTAGCCGTTCATGTGGCGATAGCCGTCGGGTATGCCCCGGTCGCTGAACAAAATCATGACCTGGTGCGTGCTCTCGGGCCGCAGAGTGATAAAGTCCCAAAACATGTCGGCGTCCTTGAGATGGGTGGCGGGGTTGCGCTTCTGCGTGTGAATGAAGCTCGGGAACAGCATCGGGTCCTTGACGAAGAAGATGGGGGTGTTGTTGCCCACCAGGTCCCAGATGCCCTCCTCGGTGTAGAACTTGACGGCGAAGCCTCGGGGATCGCGCACCGTGTCGGCCGAGCCGCTCTCGCCACCCACCGTGGAGAAGCGCACCACGAGCGGCGTCTTCTTGCCGATCTTGCTGAAGATCTTGGCCTTGCAGTACTTGCTGATGTCGTGGGTCACCTCGAAGTAGCCGAAGGCACCCGCGCCCTTGGCGTGCACCACTCGCTCGGGGATGCGCTCCCGATCGAAGTGCGATATCTCATCGAGATAGACAAAGTCCTGCAGGAGGAGAGGGCCGCGCGGGCCCACCGTCTGCGCGGCCTTCTTGTTGGCGATCGGCGCGCCGTTTCCGGTCAGCAGAGTCGGCGCTCCATCCTGCGCAAGATATAACAAGGGTAAAGTTGTAATATAGCTGCATCAGGCAGTATATTTTCACGTAATACGCGTAAGTCAAACAAAGCTTGCGCGCGCGCGACGGCGTTACTAATTTTTACATAATCATCGAGAGGCGGCTTGGCGCGCGAGCGCGTGTATCTGTATAAACAGCGTAATAAAAACGTTCGGCCGACGTCGTTGTTGGTGGTAATTACACGCTCGGTAAGACACGTAAACGCGTGCATTTTTTTTCTCTTTTTTCTTTTATCATCGTTGCATATGATGTATGTACTAACGGTAGCAGCGCGCACGACAAAGCGGCTGCTCCGCATCAACAACAACAATAATTCGAATAAACAAAGTGCACGTTTTAAATATTTACATGAGTGTTTGCCTCTTCGCTGTACACACACATAAATATAAATTTATATGTGTATAGACTCCGCGTGACTGCGCCAATTTCTCACTCCGTTAATGAAGGCGGCGAAAAAAGTGCGTGTGTACGCAGCGCAAATATTCACACGGCGCATCATTGTTGTGTTACATTCTATCATATTGTTGTTGCTTTCAAGCCGCTCGCACGCGCGCGCTGTCCATCTCGATTTGAAGTTTATATTTTATTATCGATTTATCAAGATTCGAGTGTCAAGGTTGGCTGTTTTTTTTTCTTTGTATGCTCGATTATTAATAGCGATTGTTAAAAAGCTTTTTTAATTTACACGAGCAAACTCTTTTTCAAACATTTTGTGAAATTTCGGGTTGTAAATTTCGTTCTATTGAAAAATATCGTGCTGTCCGATAAAAATGATGTGTTTTTGATTTACGATCAACAAAAAAACTGAAAAAGACAAGCACTGCTTTGTCCGATATAAAAATGCCGTGTCGTTGATTTACAATTAACAAAAAAGAACCAACAAGTCACAACTAAATCGAATTACAATGGCATTTGAATTTCCATCCTCTAGTTAGCATAGTATAATTCAACAACGTTAAAACCAAAAAAGAAAAAGCGCACACGTAGATAAATCAAACGAGCAGCAACTTTCATAAAAAAAGAAAAAAAATTAACCCGCATGCTCTAGTACTAGCGAAGATTCGCTGCGAGCACTCTATATGCACAACACTGGCAAGAGATTATTCCACGCTGAGCGATAAATAATATCTCCGTGCGCACCTTGGTCGTGTCGTGCGCGGCGGTGGTATCACGGAAAAATAATGAAAAATATGCTAAATAACTCGCTCCCGCGCATATAATGCCACGATACGTGTCCATAAGACTCGTGGGCGTCGTTCTAGATTTTCAACTACTAAGTTACGGCGGCGGCGCGCAATCGTGTGCTGTTTGCTTATATTACGCTCCTCTGCTCGGCGCGGGATTTTCCTCGAGACTCAATTAAGCCTCTGCCGTGAAATACCTCGTTTGGCGCGCTCTTAAAGGTGGTACAACGCGCGTGATTATTTATTTACGCATTTTAATTCCCCGAGAGTGGATGAGCCCTGAAAAAAAAATCAGCAGCAACGCCGAAATGCGCGCTCCGTTTTATTTGACTTTTTACATGGATGTTTCTCGTTCAACGTATTGGACTTGAATACAAAAAACAGTTTCAAATACATTGTTTGCATTGACGAAAATGTCGAAGAAAACCGAATCTATCGATTTTAAATTGTTTCTTTTTGTAATATTGCGAATAATAGTCTTATCATAAAATAATTATTGTAAATATGATAATATTAATATAAATCGATCTTAGAATGATAGAAAATGGTGTAACATCTGTCTCTGATTCGATCTTAACGGCGAAGCAATAAAACCAAAAGATCTCCCCAAAAATATCGATCGATCGATTATTATCGGCGATACTCTAATTCGAGTACTTGCAAAATGTGATAATGTCGTCGCTGATCGTTATGCAACGCTATTAAATAATTGTTTGCTCGGGATCGCGCAACGATACACGCATAATATTGCTTGAACATAATATTGCTTATTGCTCAAAAAGTTACAATCTTACGAGATGTAATTATGCTCCTGATTCAGCGCGATGACTAGCAACAGTTAATTAAGATTTTTTTTCCACCGATTTTCGTGTGTACTCGTGCGCGCAGACACGTATGCACCAACGAAAATGATCGAAAACGATCGAAATCGAGGCAGAAATCCAATATCTCTTGTAATCCACGGAGGATATCTCCGTCGATGTCTATCTTTTGTCGATTAAGTGCAAAATGCAGTAAACAAATCTCTTTAAACGCTCTCGCGTGCCTTATCATCCGCTCTCTCTTTATTTATGCACGTATGCAAAGTCGTCGTTTTGTTAAAAAAGAAGAATCACGGGTATAATCGGTCATCTTTGTTCACACACACGCGCGCGTTTGCAATAAACGCAAAGAGAGAGGGAGAAAAAAAACAACGTCAACAAGCAACATTGTGCAGCTTCGAGAGATGATAGATACTACTATATTAGTGGCGTATTAGAACGCACACACACACACAAACACCGGCTCCGAACCATTATAAACAACGAGTTATTTAAGCTTTCGCGAACATTTTGATAAGATAATCTGCGAGCTGCATCAATGTAGCTGCTTGTTGACGATTAAAATAGAGCCGTAACTAACGGAGCGGCTCGCCATTTACGACTTCGAGCTGTCTCTCTCTCTCCTTTTTTTCATTCATTCCTTTTGCTGTTTTTTTGCACCGAACGAGAGGGAAAAAAAAGAGGATCTCGCTCTGCGGCTATATGTAAGTATGCGAGAGCTCGGGAGCGTGATAAATTAGCCGAGATAGCGAGAAAAGTGTGCGTTAAAGACGTATTTATGACGCGAAGATGCAACTTTAGCCTATTAGACAAGACGCGAAACGCGTGACGAGAGGCAGAGAGAAAAACTCTCACGATTGTTCGTGCTCGTGTTGCAGAGCGAGACCGCGATGCAGCGAAGACACACTTTTATAAGTATGCACAACTAGCCATGGCTCATTAATAGGCAGAAGAAGCGAAACTAACCTTGACTGATTTCTTGTAATCGTTGAGTTGATTCGATGCTGGATCTCGGGACATTTTGCAGGAATTGCAGTTGTTGGCTACTTGTTGCGTGTTACTATCACGGCAAACCGTAGACGACTTGCTATAGTACCTTCGCTGCGACGCGACTAATGACTGGATAGACGATGATGCGCTGCTGCAGCCGATGACAGAGCAACTGTTGTTGTTTTGGTGGTTGTAGTGCCGCTGGGGCTCGCTGCTGCTGCTCGCGATTATTACGATATCCCGATGGCCCGTATCGAGCCACTTGTGTCGATTGACGAACTGCTGATAGGATGGCGACGACCTTTTATTGGCGAGCCATTGCCGACTAATGGCGTAGTGGGGATCATTAGTTGTCGTAGCGCTGCCACCGCCGCTGCCGCTGCTTATGCTTATGCTACTCCTCGAGCCGCTAATGCCGTCGTTGTAGCGCGGGTCGAATTTGCAAAGATGATTTTGTCGTTTTTGCGATTGCACTGAAACCGTGGTAAATCCATGCCTCGCGCCGAAATTGATCCTTCTCGCGAGGATAGTCAACATTTTTTTTCAAAGCTTTTTACGCGGTCTCACGCTTTTCATCTTGCGCTTTTTTACGAAATCAAATGACATATGCTAATGATAATGTACAGAATTAGCTAGAATAACCTGGAATGACAATTATTTTGACATATATACGGAAAAAACAAAATGACAAAAATGAGGGGGAGGGGAGATTTAAATCTCTTTATAATGCACACTACAATACGATCATTTTAATTGAAAAGACAATGACTTGAAATATTTCAATGATTAAATTTCGCTTTTTTATATTTAAAATTACTAGATAGTTTTTTAATCGAATTAAATAATGAAAATCTTCGTTTGGTATATAATAACTGTATTTATGTTTGTTTCGTTAATTAGATTTCTATATTACAAATAATTTTTCTTTTCTGCAACTGGTATCTTTGGTAAGATTCATCCATCATACAGTCCCAATTTTAGAATACAAAGCAAGAAAGGCTTAAGCTATCGCTTGCTTTCTTTCTTTATATGAAAACAGCTTATAAAACAACAATTGAATTTGACGAGTATCAACACTTTTTATTTACAAAAACCAAAGCATTAGTTTTGAAAAAATTTCATACTCTTATGAAAGCTCATTGATTGATAATTAATGTTCAAACAAAGATTAAGTAATAAAAACAATAATTAAAAAGGAGTAAGACATTTCCAAATTAATCTTATCTAATCTTATATAAATAATTCTAAAACAATCAGTTGACTTAATGTGCATATTGAATGTTCTTTAATAGGACTTACACATACACACATTTTCTTAGTTGTAAATTAACGAATTACAGAAAATATTTTAGCAATTGCTCGAGTCTAGTCAACAATGAACAATGCATTAATTTACAATAGTAGTCATGTTAGTGTAAAATAAAGCGGTCCGAAAAATTAAGTTCTATTACTAGTACCATTTAAAAAACTTCAGTACTATTCAAAACTTCTATTTTTTTTAAACACGATTGATCATTTGATATAAATGGGCATATTTTAAAGAAGACGGTACAAAACGGCATTAATCACGATCGCAATTATGAATCAATTGCATCATGTCATTACATTTTCTAGAATAATTTATTTATCAAATTGGTAGGCAAAATAATGTGCCACCTCTTTATACTAGTAGTATTAAAAATCCTTCGCAGTGCACTAAGCCTTTTGTAATTTGGCAATTTGGTTGAATCAATGAATAAGAACTTTGAATACTTCGCGAGCGATTCATTGATAAAAAAAGACAAAGCTAGGCCAGGCACCTTAAGAAGGAACTCCTTGAATCATCAAACAAGACTAGGCATTTGTCACTGGCATTGGACATTGCACTTGCCACACAATCAAGTGACTTTGCTCACTTTGTTCATCGGTGCCAGCAGCTGCGGCGCCTGAATTTCTATCTATGCCGACGTCCACCTCTTCACCGTCACCTGGAAAACAATCAACGTTACTATTAATACATATGTTTAGTCAAATTTATTTCCATTGCGATAAATCTGTTTTGAAATTTGCAACAATTAGTACTAAAATTAACATTCAGTATGTATTGCTAAATACAAGAAAAATTTGTCTCGCAAACTTTGCAGATGCAACGTATTATCGTCTAAATACAATAGCTTTTTTGTTCCACTATCCAACCCCCAGAGAGCACAGAAAATGAAAATTTTTTAAAACAAAAATTTTCATTTTCTGACAAGTATTTCTGTACGGTTAAATGACGGAATCATGAGTGTTAAATATCAAATGTATAAGCACGTTTACACAGCAGATTGTTAATCACATTGACATGTGTGTCCCACTCCTTTGTACAGTGTTATATATTGTAAAAAAGGCAAATCAAGCTCAGTCAACACTTTTGTTGACTATCAAAATTTTTGTTAGTAGGCCTTTTAAGCAATTAAAAATTGTTGTTAATAAATGGATGCTTTTGTGAAATATAATTAAAGAGTGGATATATCCGGTACTCTCTGGGGGCATACCTGACTAATTGCCATACAATTAGATGCGTCGCCACGTCACTCTCATCCTCAGCTTCATCCGCTGAAAATTATAAGCATTCGGTCGAATTTTAAAATAAAGTCCGTCAAACGTTCGAGTATAAGTTAATCGTCATCTCACACGTAACATTATTGACATAATGCCCAGGGATCATTTCTTTAGAACGGCACACTTTTAACGAACAGAAATACCTTGCGCACAACTTACCGACTCGAAAATCGATGTAACCCTCTCCACCTGATAAAACGAGCATAGCTGGTTGGGAATTGTCTGAGGCGGCGCTCTGACCACCATGCCCTAAAATGATTGGTAAAAAAAGATTGAATATTAATTTCAATGATAATCGATGTAATGAGCTCAAAGAAAATCTTACCTGGCACAGCGACGAACATTTTCACAGCATCCCTGTGACCGTGAAAACTGAGTTGAGCGTGAGCCATGCTGCAGTAGGGAACAAAACTGCCTGGACTGACACTATGATCGGAGGCGAAAACTCGTACACCGACCCCAGGCGCGTCGTTTTTACTGCCCGTAGTGCCAGGCTGAACGCGGGTCACGGCCATTGAACCACCTGCACCTGTGCAATCATAATTTGCATGCATAAATAAAAGTGTGATAAATGTCACGTGCTGGCGCATATGATTGTACAGTAAACGATCTCTTACTCTCTGACAAAGGCACCGATATTATTACGCCGTTGCCCGTGCCGATCCATAATCGGTTCGACGATATCAGCAGCGCCGTTATGCGAACGAAGGAGAAACCGAGCTTGCCGGTGCCGAGCATTTTGCTCACGTAGGGCTCGATGTCGACGTCCTGAAGATGCTGATAAGTGTGGGCGTGATACAGCCTCAAGGTCGAATCCAGTCGGATACTGACCCAGACGCCCTCGCCGAGCCACGCCAACTGTCGAACTTGCGACTCGCGGCGTGGATGAGCGTCAACGGTGCACTGCAACAAACAGTCTAATTTGTTTCTAGGATTCTCTTAAGATTTTTAAGCGATTACAAGAAGACAATAATACACGTGCGATTGTCCTACATAATGTCAGGGCAGCAGCGGATCTTTACCTCGAGTTTCATTTTGATTGGATCGATGACGTGAATCTTGTTGCGGTATCCACACCAGACGGTTTTGCCGAGTACTACGGTCATACACCTTATCGAGTGCTGAGGACTGCCCAGAGTGATGATGTGGTACTGCGACAAATCCCATTGACCATCGACGCCCCTTCTGAAAATCGCCACCGTGCCGTCCGCCAGAGCTACCAAAACTCGTCCCTGAATGTGTCTGTAAAAAAAAATGTTCGAGTAGTAACGGGGTGACGGAGGAATTACCGATAGAAATTTTGGGAGAGTGAACTCACACAATGGCAAGGGCAGCATCGGGCAGTTTAACACTGTGCAGGCACACGGACCACTTGGCCACAGCCGAGTGTACAAATACAGTTCCGTCTTGAGCTCCCAACCACATGGTGGGCTGAACAGAGGACATTCTCTCGATCGGAGTCGCGACGACTTCCTCCTCCTCGTCATCCTCGGTTTCGTCGTCGTCGACCACGACGTCGTGCTCGTCTTCGCCGATCTTTTCGCTTTCTTTATTGGTGGTATCGGCCTCGGGTGAGTCTGGGATGGCCTCGCACTTTATAAAACGAACCGCACCGAGATTCGCCGTTTCCGCGTCTACCTCTACCGGCGTATCGGAAGTACTACTTGGCTGTTCCTCGGACTCAGGCTTGTCATCCTCTTTGGTCGAATCATCTTTGTCGGCAAGAGCCAATTCGGCCTGGACATCGACTTCTCCCACGTAATCGCTCTCCTTGGCTCCGGGCACGCTTGCGATACACAGCAGGTGACTCGGGCACACGTTGAAGACCTCCAGAATATCCGCCGGATTATTAGCATCGATCACCGTGACTTTGGACATTTTCTGAGTTGACGTGCAGATCCAGACGAGCGAGCTGAGTTGCTGCTCGAGGCACTCGGCCTCGAGTCGGCGCTGCTCGCTCTCTTGCAGCTCCTTGTCCAGATGCTCTACGGCGTCCTCGGGTTCGCCGGCGGCCGGTTGTAGCTTGCTCAGCTCTCCGGCCGGGGTCTCCTGAGCCTCGGCTGCGTAGAAGACACTGCCCCCGACCATGGAGCCGCCGTCGCGGGTCCGGCCGCCGCTCAGGTTTACCCCGGCACCGCACCAGATCTGCGATTTGTTAGCTTTCGTTAGGCTCGCCAGGTCGTCCCATTGGGTCTGATCGGCTTGTCTACTCGCCTTCATTCCCGGCTCGGTCTCTTGCAGGGGCCTGCAGTACACGGGCACGGGCACGGGCTGGCGCGTCGGCGCAGACGGCTTGCCCGGCAGACTCCAGCCGTAGGCTTGCAGCCGGCCGTCTTCTTTTCGCACGTGGGCGCGCACTTGCCGGTACTGCTCTCTTCGCTCGTTCGCTCTGCGAGCCATTTGTTTCTCGGACGCCCTGTAAGACAGATACATAAAGTCAATTGATTATTTTTGCCAACGATTTATTTGGTTCTACTGAGTTGTTATTTACACAAGTGGAAAGTAAATGAATTACAAAGCTGGTGGATTACGTAATGAAAAGCAATTAAATGAAACGTCGTTACCTGTTACTCAAATGACAATTTTAAGCTGAAAAACCAAAATGATCCAGAATAAGGTGTGCATGTGTGCATCGCAGGTAAAGAACAGAACGTGCGCAGAGTCATAGAAAAGAAAAGCAAGAACGTACCGAGACATACGGTAATAAACTTAAAACACGTTTATACAATTTTTCTACATTTTATTGTGCAGATAATAAAATTTTCATTCGATTTGAGACAATCATTATGTACATAATAACATTGTGATACTTTTTACTATTACGATATTTACAAGCATCATATTTAAAATGTAAATAAATATTTCAAACTCAAACAATAAAGATACTACGAAAAACAAGCGGAAGTTAAAATTTAAGTCTTTATCAAAGCTACGCATGAATAAAGTTGTACAAAATAAAAATAAACAATAGTTTGGTCTCGACTAGATAAAAATTTATACAAAAAAAAAAGTTATTAAAGACTAAATATTATTGTCGCTCACATAGTATCTCCTTGATCGAGAAAATCGTGTCGATTTTTCATTTGTCGTCGTCGCATTATGTCCATGTGCATTGCCGGTACAACTTGATTCGATGGTGCACTATAACGAACATGACCACCGCGTACGAGGGCCCCTCGGTCGGCCGGGCCAGTAAAAAGATTACTAAAACTATGAGAAAAAAAATTTAATGTATAACGTGAATCTAGGAAAGTACTAAAAGTTAAAATGATAATAATTACAATTTCCAAAATGTTTGTTTTCCTCCAGATATGCTCGCTGGGTCAGTTTTACTAGCCCTAATCATTTCAGTCCATCTAACAGCCTCTTGCAACTCCATGAATCTTTCTTTATACTGATTTCTCTCCATTAATACCCTTGCCATTTCTGCTCTAGTAAACCTCTTCCTTTGAGCTAGAGGCACCTCCTCTTCGTCATCGCTCTTGGTGACCTTTGCAGCTGTTTCAGCTTCTTCTTTAACTTTCTTTAACTCTTCTTCCAATACTACCACTCGTTGGCGAAGTCTTTCCTTAACAAGCGTTAAGTTTCGAACTTCTTCCCTCAGTACTTCTTGTTCTCTGTTATAACAAATTAAATAATATAAATTAGTACATTTAAATGCATTAAATGGCATGTTCTAGAAAACTTACCCAGTTAATTCGTCAACTTTGACAATTAAATCATCTTTAACGATGTTTAGGGCATTTCTGAAAATGATTAAAATTGAATGAGTTTTATACTTGAACTTGAATTTCAAAAAATAATTTTTTTTCCATTTTACTTACTTAGTAGCCAAGAGTTCGTTATTTTCTAGGATTAAATTTTCAACTTCTTTGCCCATGCCTATAAGAAAAAATGTGCACTCAGTAAATATATTAATTATCAATTTAAGAAATACGAAGACAAAAAGTATATGTGTTATTTAGAATAGTTAAAAGATTATAATAATTCAGAATGAAAATTCATAGCTTCTTACCATAAAAGTTGTCGTTAACTGCAAATTTGTTGCATGCATCATTAATGTAGGTAGGACGGTCACAGAAAACAGCAAAGAAAAATTACAATCCAATATTAATCATATGAACGTTATTGTGTACATTTATAAATGTTATTTAAATTCAAAAAGATATGTAGGGATAATCAATTATTTTGAAAATTAAAAATTAAAATTATAATTGTCATGGAAACACTTTCAAATAAGGGATGGCAAAATTTTCCAGTTGAAAATGTTTTGTTGCACGAACCTGATGAAGCATATTCTCCTGGATGAACCCAACTGCCTGTAATATAATAAAAATTAGTATCATTCCATCAAATTATTGTAATCAAAACCAAAAATACTGTACCTGTTATATCAGCTCCTTCATCCATTTCTCCCAAAGCATCTGCATCTTGAAAACTAATTTCTTGATAAAGAGTATTAGCACTTCTTCTTTCTTCTCTTTCTGTTCTACTTCTACCACCGGGTGTTGTGGCTTGCTTCTGAGGAGATGTTGGTGTAGTAACTACGGGTGCTTGTTCCGTCTCTGGACTGATATCTGATAATAAATGTATACAATTTTATTTAACGCTTTAAAAACGTTCAACTCGAAATAATAATTACTGTATAAAAGAACAAATATATAATTTAAGTAGAACTTACGCCTGATGATTTCTGTTTTATTTTCTGTTGGTGGCTGTTCAGTTACTGGACTTTTTTCGGGTATTTCTGGCAGAGCATCGCAACTGCTGTCCAACATTTCATTCTGTAAGCTATCTGCACTTGGTGGACTTTCTTCAGGAATATCTTCGTTCATACTCGCCTCAAGACTCTGAAATCCATAGCTTAAAGGACCAGAACTACGTGACATGTGAGACATTCCAAGAGATGGTAATCGATTAGAGACTCGACTCGCAACCGTTGGATTTTCTAATCTCTCCGTACTACCAACGAGCATTTTCGTCCTTTCCATGTAGTCTACGTGAGTCTTGAATAATTCGGTGTACCGATCGTGTAATCTTGAATACTCTCTTTTTAATTCCGATTCTTTCTCCTCGAGCCTCACCACTGTAAAATAAAAAAATCATTTTTTAATCTGCAATTTATAACATTGATTTGTGAGAATCCATGAGGAGCCAATTTCCAATATAAAAAAAAGCTTTTATCCTTCACCGATGGTGACAGCAAACAAGCAAATGTTGAAAAAATGAAGATTGAAATCAAAATTATCATGAGCTAGTAAAAAAAAGTGAAAAAAGTAAAAAATAAAATATGATTTTTAAAGTTCAAAATAAAGCTCAAAAGTAGTTTTGAAAATAAAATAAACTGAAAATAAACAACTCTACTGGAAGGGATTGGTCTCAGACTGGACATGACAGTTTCTATAGTACCATGGTCATGTGAGTTTTTGACTTTGAGTTCCATCATTCTCAATAAGGATTCCAGGGTCTCAATTTTTGAATTTTGTTCTTTTCTTTCATCTTCAGCAGCATCTTCTAATTCCAGTAATTTCTAAAAATAATAATAACAAATTATCATCACACACAATTCGATTAGTTTTAATTGATAAAAATTAAAATTGTACCTGATCAGATGTTTTTCGAAGTTGTTTCTCCCTTTCATACTGAGTGACAAGTTGTTCGTTATCTTCTCTCAGTAACTCCAATTCCACCTCATGCTCTTGATTTTCAGTATAAGCCATGTCTAAACATTCTAATACATTGACTAGTAGAGGCATTAATTCTTTAACTACATCCTCATCATACCGAGCTATCATTCTTTCGAATTCTTGATAAATCCCTCCAGCCAGTGTTTGAACTTTTTCAGACATGACAACATGACTGTCTTCATGTGTCCCATATACTGTTTCCTGACCCATCTTGATTTCTGCCATTTTGTGTTATCTGCAGAAAATAAAATTATCTTTGTTATAACAAGAACAATAAGTTAACAAAAATTTTTTCTTAGTACAGAGTAATCAAATAAAATAAACATTGTCACTCGAACTGGCATAGCGCCAGATTTGGAACACGACACTATTCTCAGATGGACTCATTCAAGTAGATAAAGTAACAAAAATGCAAATTCCAATCAGTTTCCCCAGAAATTCTTTGAATGTTTTGTTATTTATACATTTACCAATTTAGACTGATAATAATCGAATAACAAAAATGCATGAAGAGTCTCATTACAATTACATTTTGATATAAAATAGCAGAAATTATTCCTCGACTTTGAGATAAGTTTTGACCGCGTAAAAACCGCAAAATTGTTTTATAACATATCTCCTACGCATCGCATTAGCATAAAAAGATATCGTCGCGTAAGCAATGAGTAAATCGAGCGAGGTGAGCGAGAGCGTATGAGGCAAACGCTGTGGCGTGTTTCATCAAAGCGTAGTACGAGAGAATGTGTCATTGGGATTTCTCTACGCGTGTATACAACTCTCGAGCTAAACATTTGCAAGCATATATAACTGTAAATTCGAAAATATTAGCCACACTTACTCTTTTTTGAGTTTAGTCAGTTGTCGTCGAGCAACCAAGTCGCCCTTCCTCGTTCGTCGCAGCCAGGATTCCGCATATATGATTAAAAAAAGGCTGATGCATCTAGGACGAGCACTGACTTCTCCTATAGTCCTGCTTCATCTTCTTCGTAAACATTGCGCGTACATAATCACAAGTGGAGGCGTAGACGCAAGACAGCAGTTTTTCGAAGCAGCTGTGTCAGACTTGCTATTCGCGCACTATTATTACCAGACAGCAGAAGAGCAACAAACAATGACGGCCTCCCCCGCCGTCAAGACAATCAGTCTCGATCGTTTAGTTCAACAAATTCGTACACGGAAGTGCGCATGCATACACGATGCGACAGTTGTGGCAGCAACAGCAACAACTCGACGAGTCCTTATTCTGACGTTACCGTATCGTCCGATAAACACTGCAGCAGTGGCTCCTCGCATGTTTGCCTGCACAGCAGGCCAGCGGAGCAGCTTTCGAGAACTGGCAAGCAGCCTAGCAGCCGAATCTTGAGGCGATATCTCTTTTGCTCGTCGAGTTTTCTTCTTCTTTTTTTACTCCTCCAGCAGCAGCAGCAGCAGTAGTAGTAGCAGCAGCAGCAGTGCAGCAGACCCTATATTATATGTAGGTGCCAGTGCAGCAAAAGCGTCGCGATCTGTGCGCGAGATCGGGGAGTACACGGTACTCGAAAACGGCAGCTCGTAACGCGCTAGCACGATAACGCTTTTGCAACTGCTCCTTTCTACTAAACTACAGCACTGGTCTCTTTGTCACACCCACTGAGGCAAAACGTCGTCGTCATCAAGTCGAATGTATACACCACAACTACACACTTTTGAGTGCGTACGCAATAATACGCGGGCGATTTCTCGCTCCTTGTCTGATAATGGCACGCACTAAGCGCTCGATTTTACTCGTCAATTTAGATGCGAGAGTCGAGACTCTCCGCTGCTCGATAACAGCACGAAAACAATAAACTGCATGATATAAATTATCACTCGGCTGACAGTAATCGACCGACGCCACACACTCCGCGAGCGGTTTCATATCGGCACGTTCTATTTAGCCGACGAAGATATTCAAATGCACGTACCAACCTTAGATAAAGTGCCACTTGCTTCATTCGATATTGCGCGCGCGGCGCGGCTAACAGTTTTTTGTTTGAATTATGATTTTTTATTTCAAGTTATTGAACTGTACAATAACAAATGAATGTCAACTTGAGAACGGTGCAAGGCGATAAAATGCAGCACTTTAGGTTTTTATTATTTTATCGGTTGACGTTTGGATCTAATTTTATTCGTTGATGAATGAATTTAATAAACGTGATTCATATAGATAAAACGAGCAAATTTAATTGTATAATTCAACCTGTTAAGCAAAATCAAATTGATTTCACGAAGTGGTGGACATATGAAACATATGTTCTGACACTGAACGAGATAAGTAAGTCATGTATACAAGCTGATACACTATTCAATAATCCAATATCCAAGTATTCTATTTAAAAGCCCGAAGGCCGGTCGAAGACCTCTCTTCCTTTCTTTTATTCTCTTTCTCTCCGCGCATATTGTATTTGATCGCGCATCGATTCCAAAACAAGTCACATCTCACCACACACTCTAAAACCCCGTTTTCAAAACAAAACAAAGCCACTAATACGGCACGAGGCTCGTAAACGGTCAAGCATGTGTCGCACGAATCAATCGGCTTTGGCCATTTAAGCGAGAAAGACAAAGTTGAAAATCGAATTCGTTAATTACACTTTTAGAAAGGCTTGTGCGCTAATAATTAATGGGAAATTTGTCATTTTTATTCAAACGACCGGCGGAATTCATTGGTGATTTAGAGAGTGATTGCAAAAAAGTTATCGACAAAATGATGACAGCAGCCAACAAAAGGACGATGGATCAGTTCAACTATGATTGGTACGACAGGCATACGCACAATATGGCCATGCAGCACTTCAATTTCTATGTTCCCACGAGCTACGATCAAAAGCAGCATCTGCCGTTACATCGAACGCTCCACGAGGACCAGCACTTCTGCCCGTGCATCGAATGCACTGGTCCCTACACGTACATCAACGACTTGACTATTTACGATGACATACAGGTGGGTGTGCATGAGTCAAAAAAAAAAAAGATACATGAAAAATGTAGCGTATGACGTACTTCTCGCTCCGCCTATCTAGCTCCGCTATACCTCGAAATCCTCGTGCATATGGTTATGCGTTAAAACCTCACGTAAATCCGATACGAGCACGTACATACCTACTCGCTGCACTTACACAGATGCAGGCACATGGTCAGAGCATATATATTTTTTCTGACGCGCGTGTTAAAGAGAGAGAGAGACACAGGAGACGGGGGAACAGCGCGCAGGGGGAGGGAGAAAAGAGATGTGTGTATACATGCGCGCTGCTGTTTCTGAGTGTTCTCTCGCATCTCTCTCTCTCTCTGCCTCCTGCGTCTACCGCTTCCGCGTAAATGCAGTGTGTATAAGCCTGTAATATGCATCGGAGTGTAGCGAGGCAGTATAAACTCGGGCGATAGATAGTCAATAACGCTGTTGCTCTTTTGGCCATTGAACGATAAGAGAGGCAGCCTCGCTGGTCGCACAACCAGCCACCACGCAGACCAGACCGCACAGTGACGAATTTAATACACAATATACAAATATCATAAAGCTCCGAGATTAGGAAAAAGAACCAAATTACATATCCTAATCGCGTGTTTGTGTAACCATCATTATTTTAAGTGAGGAATATGTGTACAAGAAAGAATTTACGGAGTGATGCCGCGAGTGTGCTTCGAGTGTTGTTGGGCGCAGCGTGAGGCTATTATATCGCTCGCAGCACTGTTATCTTTTCGTAATTAATTTCTTTATAATAATACCGAGTCAGGTATCTAAGTGCCATTAGCTGTGTGTGCTTCTCATTGGGTAATATTTTAAACGATTATAATATATTGCCTTCTGCCTTAGTCGTTGTGTATAGGGAAAAAAGTGGCTTTTGACGAGTCGATCGTCGCATTCGATAGAGCCTTGTTGCATTTTACCTTGATTCATCGAATGACGCCTCCTGCTACCACCAGCAGAGAGTAAAGGTTGGCGTTTCCTTCCTTGCTCCTGCGAAGCGAAATATTTGGTTTGCAATGCCGTTGGCGACATTAACAGTTCCTTGGAATCAGGAAAAGGTAATGTGTATTGATTAAAAAAAATGTACGAACCCACGATGCATGCCTTGTAAACAGATTGATTTCCCCTGTAAATTTAATTAAAGGTAATTTTTTTTTAATTTTGTCTTTTTGATCATTTTTAAATCTGTTTGAGAGATTTTTCTTGTAATTAAAAAAACTCATAAAAAATTTTTTTCCAGTCCTCAGAGATTCTCCCTGCAGAGAATCAGGAAGAAAACATGAACGTACAAATTCCAATGGTGGAACCCAATTTCAACGGTTGTCCAGCGGAACCAATGGAAACTCAAGATGTAGTGTCCCATGAAATTGAAGTTCGAGATGTTACACGAGCAGGGCATGAGAAAGCCGAACCAAGACACTTTGAGCTACTTAAAGTTCTAGGCCAAGGCTCTTTTGGCAAGGTGTGGAATATTGATTTTTAATGGCTCCAATGACTCATGTACATGTAATGCTTATCAATACTCTATTATTCAACAGGTCTTTCTTGTCAGAAAAACTATTGGTAGAGACAAGGGTACTCTTTATGCCATGAAGGTTCTTAAAAAGGCTACCCTGAAAGGTATAATTTTATTATCAAACAGAAATTTCAACTAAATTTTTTATACTTATTAACCATTTTTGTTCAGTACGAGATAGAATGAGAACTAAGATGGAACGTAATATTCTAGTCGATATAGAGCATCCTTTCATTGTACGCTTGCATTATGCATTTCAAACGGAAGGAAAGCTTTACTTGATATTGGATTTTCTTAGAGGAGGTGATCTTTTTTCCAGGTTATCTCAACAGGTTTGTGAATAATTTTCTAATAACAACTAATACTAATTTAATTTATGATTATTGATGTTAAAAAAATATTGTCTTATTTTCAGTTAATGTTTACAGAAGAAGATGTAAAATTTTACTTGGCAGAATTAGCGTTAGCTTTAGATCATGTACACAAACTTGGTATTATTTACCGAGACTTAAAGCCTGAAAAGTATGTATAAAAATGCTTCTATTTTACACTTTAAAAAGAAAAGTATTGATTTTAATTTGAACTTTTAGCATACTTCTTGATACTGAAGGTCATGTTGTTCTTACTGATTTTGGATTGAGCAAACAACCTTTGGATGATTCACAAACATATTCCTTTTGTGGAACAGTTGAATATATGGCTCCTGAAATAGTTAACAGGAAAGGACATTCTTTTGCTGCTGATTGGTGGAGTTTTGGAGTTGTTCTGGTTTGTATTGATTCTTTCATTTTCTTTTACATTTTTTTATCTAAATAGTTTGCTACATTATTAAGATTAATATAATTGATTACAGTTTGAAATGTTGACGGGTGTTTTACCATTCCATGGAGCCAATCGCAAAGAAACCATGACTCAAATTTTAAAAGCCAAGTTGGGAATGCCTCAAAAAATATCTCCAGAAGCACAAGCTTTGTTGAGAGTTTTATTCAAAAGGAATCCTGTCAACAGATTAGGATCAAGTAGGTTCAAACTTTACAAAAATATGAACTCAATTAAATATAATCAATTTTATCAACATTTTATTTCAGAGGGAATTGAAGAAGTAAAAAATCATGTATTTTTTGCAACCATCGATTGGCAAAAATTATACAACAAAGAAATTAAACCCCCATTTAAACCTGCAGTAAGCGAAGACGATGATGCTTACTATTTTGATAAAGAGTTTACATGTAAAACGCCGAAAGGTAAATTGTAAATTTCATTTACTTTAACATTTGAATACAGTGGAGGTTTTATATCTCATTTCTATGATTTCTGTAGATTCACCGGGAGTGCCACCTAGCGCAACAGCTCATGAACTCTTCCGAGGTTTTAGCTTCGTTGCACCGTGCTTGCTCGAAGATTCCAATGGCGGCGAACACAAGCCAAGCGAAAACGTAGCCACGAGTTTTCCTACTCATATAAACTCTACCTGCATCACGGATGAATATGACTTTAATCAAGAAATCGGAAAAGGCAGTTACAGTACTGTTTATTTGGCTGTACATAAGCTGACAAAAGTAGAATATGCCATCAAAGTAAGTTGATCGATCGAAATGAAAAAAACTCGTTTGAAATGCTAAATATTTAATTTTCTCCATCGCTCCAAAGGTAATCGATCGAAAAAAGCGAGACCCGACCGAAGAAATTGAGATACTTTTACGTTATGGTCGACACCCTCACATCGTCACCTTAAAAGCCCTTCACGAGGATGAAAGACATGTTTACCTTGTATTGGAGCTTTTGAAGGGTGGCGAACTACTCGATCGCATGTTACAACGTCGTAACTTTACTGAGGCAGAAGCAGCAGAGGTCATGTTCACTATATCTAGTGTCGTACACTATCTCCACGAAAATGGGGTAATTACTTAAATAAAATATTATTATAACTTATAAAATTTTTCTTAATTGCATCTATGTTATCAGGTTGTTCATCGCGATATAAAACCATCAAATATTTTGTACGCAAAAACTGGATACAATCCGTCTACTTTGTGCATTTGTGACCTTGGATTCGCCAAACAACTCAGAGCTGAAAATGGATTACTTATGACACCTTGTTACACAGCTAATTTTGTTGCACCCGAAGTGTTGAAACGACAGGGTTACGATGCTGCTTGTGACATTTGGTCTTTAGGCATATTATTGTACATCATGTTGTCTGGGTAATTTTCTAAACTTGGCCTACATTTGTCGCCCAGATTTTTTTCTATTCTAATGTAATGTTTTTTCTCAGTCGAATACCATTTCCAAATACACCCGGTGACACAGCCAACGACATCTTAGATAGAATAGGCCGTGGCTACGTCGATGTCGAGAGTGGCGTATGGAGCATGATCACTCCCGAGGCTAAAGATTTGGTTAAACGTATGTTGCATATTGATCCAACTCGCAGACCCAATGCAGCCAGCATATTAAAACATCCGTGGATCGTCAACAGGCATCGATTGCCCCACAATCCATTGCCTGATATCGTCAAAGACCCACTGGTCGTAAAAGTATGAATCAGACAAAACATTTTTAATTATACACATAAAATGAGGAAGAATTTTATCGAGTATTATCACATTATTTTCAGAATGCCGTAGCAGCTACTTATCAAGCTATGTCAAATAGTCCAAGGGCACCGCATATAGGACCTGTCGTAATGTCTGAATTGGCGCGGCGCAGAAATCGAGCTAAGTTATCGGCTAATATTCACGTTTGAGAACAGCAAAACGTTATTCGAAAAAAAAAGTCTTTAAAATCACAACAATGATTTGTACTTTTGTTGCCGCTTTTTTTCGAGCCCATTTGAGATTCAACGGATAATCCTTGAATTTCTTTTTTAAAGATTTTTTATTTAATTGAATTATAGATTTTTACAAATAAGTTTAGGCCATGATTTATTAATTATGTGATATCGATTAATTTTATAACTGCGCTTTTTAATGCATATATAAATGCAGTGATATCTGAAACAATCTAAGATTTAAAAAAAATCTATTGGGTTTTCGAACGCATCCAGTCTTCTTCCATAAGCAGCATTTCTTGGATTATCGAAATCTAGAAATGGCTGTTGATCGGGTGTAGTTTTAATTAAATGCTAATCGTGCATTAAAAAAATATACAAAATTGCCTTTGCTATTTCACTCTCTTTAAAACAAATGTGCCCGAAACTGCGCAAAACTACCAGTATTTGATGATACAAGTATAAAAAATGATTGAAGCCTTATGACTGATTTAGTTAGCATCGTTTAAAAGTAAAAGACAATTGCCGAAAATCGTTGATTGAATGCCAACTGTATTTTTAATATCTAATTAACTTGTAATTAAGAGCTATTTTAAATATTTTTAAACTATTATTATCATGATCTACCATGAATGAAAATCAAATTATCTATATACTAACTCATCGTTTTAATTGTTATACCGATTATCCTTAAAAATAGTATTGTGCAATGACGTTTTTTTTATCGAGATTTTATGCTTTCTCGCAAAAGCAAATATTACACTTGTTACTAGGTAAATTATCCAAACACATTTTCAGAGTATAAAACACGTTATTTCTCAATGTTGAATATATTCTCATGCTTTAATAGAAAAAATAAAATTAGGTTACAAAATTGAACTGATTAAATTTCTGGTCTGAGAAACTGAGAAAAGTACTAACTTTTAAATGATAAATAGGAGTAACTATTATGAATTAAAGACTTGATTAAAAAGTCAATAACAGTGATATATATTATTGGCTGATATTTAAGTATAGCAATTATATTTAAGAAAGTCAACAATTCATAATCGATCTCTATTGTACAGATATAGCAAAAAACAAATTAATGTTTGCAGACAGATACTAAAATTGCCATATTTGTCTTTGACAGCACAAAGTCACAACAAAGACGATGTATATTTTTATACAGCGTGCCGAGAGGGATTTGCGAACGACAAATAAAGATTAAAACAAAATTCAAACAGTGAAGCGAAGCTAGGGAAATGGTGAATGAAAAAATATATTTCTTTTATAACAAAGCGAAATAATTTTATCTCCTTACTTGTAATACAAATAATATTATAGAGATAATATAAAAATTATTAAACAAAGAGAGATATTAAATTTGTCTGCGTATATAAATGCGATATATTTTAACGCTATGAATTATATAAACCGCAAAAAAATGTTATTATCAAAGACATAAGTAGAAAAAGTATATATGAATATATTTATTCAAAAAAATAAATAAATAAAATGTTTCTGTGTCGTTACTACTTGTTCGAGTACGCGTACGAGCAAATGAATTGTGTACATACAAAATGAATGAAAATATATTTCAATTTTGCATGCACACAATCCATTGCTACAATAACTGTAAATTCAAGAAAATAACGAGTAAAGTTGACAATGTTGTACGGTTTCACTGTAAAGATGCAGAGGGAAAAGTTATGATTATGTAACTTGTTACAAGCACACAAAATTGTGGACCTGTGTCGAAGGAAACTGAATGTGCAGTGTAATAAAGACGTGTATGAGAACACTATGTGCATGGAAGCTCTTTAAATCATTTCGACTCAAACACCTGTCCCCCGCGCGCAAAGTTTAAATATCCACTGTGCCGCTGTCAGTGGTGGAGCATCGTTGCGTAGCAGAAAACGTAAAGTCGGGTCTGAGCGCCATCTGGTACAATGCGCGCAGTTATTTCGCAATATATCGGCTAAACCAGAGAGACCAACTCTCATAGAGTCTCGGCAAGCTACATTATAATTCGCGAACTGCTAACTCGAAAATTCCGCGTACAAAGAGCGACGAGCCAAGCAGCAGCAGCAGCTCACCGGCCGACGCCGCGCGCAGCTCTCGCTCGCCTACTGAAGAGCTGTGAGAGCTCCGAATTAGTATACAACAACGAGAACGGAATCACAATGATCAGATCGTAATCGAAAGGTCGCGGCAGAGCAGCTGCACACACGGCACAAAGTCGCGTCTTTTACACACACACATACACACTCGGCTCAGTGGACTGAAAGAATCCGCGAGAGATTAGAGAGAGAGCACGTGTCGCGCGTTAAATTCGATTATAGGTTTGACACTATAGTTAAGACGTGGCGCACTGTCGGGCGCTGCTACTGGAACTTCCTCGTCCAGCAGTTGTGTCCGCAAAGTAGCAGCGGCAGGACGACAACTGGTAGCAGCAGGAACGCAGCCACAGCAGCTACGGACACCGAGAGCGACTTGTACTTGACTTGGCGTACCCAATTAGGTGAGTCTGTGGCTCGCATGTGCTTTTACATATCATAATCGAAACTGCGCGCTATCATTTATCGTCTTCGTCGTATTCGCCGTCGTCGTGCAATCTCGACCGACCGACTCCGAAATATACATGGCTCTGCCCTCTCTTTGTTTTTATTCGCCTCTTTCGCATGCTCTCCATTCATTCGGTGACTTATGTAGGCGCAGTGTACGCACTGTGTCTCTCGACTGCGAATATATATATAGATTATAATGTGTCACTTATCACCTAAGTGCGACAATGTATACAACGTAATACAGAGAAAGAGAGAGAGCGTGGACAGCAGCATGCAGTTATCGCGTATAGTTGTGCAACTGTGTGTGAGTCTGGCATGCATGCATGCGTACGGTGATGATGAAGTTGCATTGCACCCACTCGTGCACGCACACACGCACGAGAATTGAACATGCACAGAGTCGGACGCGTGATGATAACGAGCATAGTCAAGACGGAAACGCGATATATAGAGTGCATGCGCGAATTATCATGTATACGAAGGAGTTGTACGATTAGAATGATGTACTGCATCGGCGGAGCTTTTTAAGTACGTCATTATTGTGTATACTATACAACGATATATACGTGTGCTCGTTCACGAGATATATCGTGATATAAAATAGGCGAGAGAATCGATACACACGGTTCTACGTATCGGATGAACGTCTTCGACACGCGCGACGAGTCCTTGATTCGACTCGCACTGGTTACGTGCGTTGCTGCTGCTGCTTCGTTCGCCTTCTCTCCTCCTACATAGATTACGTTACACTAGTATACTCGAGAGGTACAATTCAATACACGGTTCAATTGACTTGAGAGCTTTTTTTTCCATACGGGCATATCCAATTGAATCCATTTAGCAAATGCTCCCGGTTATATCAGCTCTCTTTTGCGGCGCATAATACGACGACGACGATGATATATTATACTTGCTGTGTGCAGCCGCGTCGGACGAGTTGACTCGCGTGCGCAGCTTTTATATATCTATTCGGCGCGCCTTTCGGCCCTTGTTTTTCAAATATCTGCTTGTTTGTTTACTGCGAAAGTTTTCGGTCGTCGTTGTTGTTGTTAATGCAGAGCCTCAACCGGTCTAAATTTATAAATCGTGTGGATGTGCAAGCGCGCATATATATCATCGCGTGTTTACCGCGTTGACGAGCGACGACGAAGCTTTTTGCACAAGTCATTTCATGAAGCTCGTGTTCAATTATGTGCTTAGAAAAGGTGGAAGATTATTAACGTCTCGCAACTTTTGTCAACATATTTTTCATGCCTTTTTTGTTGTTTACTCTCTATTCATGACCGTTGCGAAAATTCACATCAAATTAGAATTGAACATTTTTTGATTTGTTCGTTAATAAATTCATTTTGCCTTGTCTAGGATTTTCAATCATGTTGCAAAAAGGCCCTCGTCCAATTGTCTTTTGTGGACCATCAGGCAGTGGTAAGAGCACATTGATCAAGTTGCTCTTTGATGAATATCCAGACAAATTTGGATTCTCTGTATCACATACCACTAGAAATCCAAGACCAGGTGAAGAAAATGGAAAACATTATTACTTCACTACCAAAGATGATATGCAGAAACAAATTGATTCTGGAGAGTTCATAGAAACTGCAGTATTTGGCAATAACATGTATGGCACAAGGTTGGTTCATTTTTCAACAAGATGAAAATGATCATTTTTCACAAATTTAATTTCAATTTGAAATTCTCTCATTTTAAAGCAAACAAGCAATTGAAGACGTTCAATGTACTGGAAAAATTTGTGTTCTGGATATAGAGATTGAAGGAGTAAAACAAATTAAAGCTAGCCCACTTCAACCTCTCTTCATTTTTATCAAACCACCATCAATTGAAGAGTTAGAGAACCGTTTGAAAAAAAGAGGTACAGAATCTCAAGAATCTCTTCAACGAAGGTTAGCAAGTGCTAAAACTGAAATTGAATTTGGTACGTCATAATATTTCATTTTTTTATTATCTTCCTGTTATTAAATAATTTACATAACTTATTTAAATTGCATTTTTAGGTGAAACTCCAGGCAATTTTGACTTGATAGTAGAAAACGATAATGTAGAGAAAGCTTATGAAAAACTTAGAAACTTTATAATGTCACAGACAAATCAGCAAAACCAGAACGGTATATCATAAATATTAAAAATTTGGTTCAATTCATATTTCCTGTGTCCATTGGCAAGGATCAATGGAGAAACTTGCCAAGTGCCAAAAGCTTCTATTAGAAATCGATCTCAGGAAAAATGTTTGCTTAAACAATCTTCATCAGTGTATTTGTAAGAAAAAAATTAACAAGTATTATATAATAATGTGAGAAAATGTGATGAGAGACTAATGTATTTATGCAATGCATCAAGCAAAGTTGATAGCAAAAAGGAACTAACTGTTGTTGTTAAACTGCATTTATTTGGTGTTATATTACAGTAAGCATTGATTTTTATTTTTTTTACAATTAATCTGATATTTTTTAAATATCATTCATTTATTACAATGTGTTTGATAAACTTATAGGGGCATTTGCTGCATTGCGAAATATATTGAAATGAAATTTTAATATTAAATAGTAGAAACATTTTATAGAGTAAAATTTACACTTACCTAGCAGCATTATTAAATAAATTTTTTTATGATTTTAAAATTTGATAAAAAGAAACTAATGTAGTATGATCTGACTTGAAAAAATTTTTGCTAATCTGGCTTGACGAATTTACAACTTCATTTTCAGATAAGATAAAATTTGTTATGTTTATTGTAAAATGTTAAAATATGGGCATAGTAAGATATGTAATATAAAATAGTTCAGTGAAAGCTAAATAGTTATCCATTTATTTGACTTGATTGTTATTTCAATTTAAACTGCAGTTAGATCGACTTCCATTGCGTTACAAAGATCAAAGTTTTGTAAGATCAATAGCTTGTCAAGACAGAATTAGTTTTCTTGACAAATGTTTTTATGTAAGCATGACTTTTTATTCGTTGTCAAGTTAACACTTTTTCGTCATTGCTTTATTACTTTTTACGCAATGAAAATTTAAATTTAGCAAATTAATACCAGTGATGCTCTAACATTTAAAATTTTTTGTTATCGTAGGATTAGAATACTCTAGAAACATCAGTTACGTAATAAAAAGTAGTATGTAATGAGAAAAAAAAACTGAGAGTACCCACCACTACGGCAATTGTGTTTCGTTAGTTTAAGAAGTGTCATATTGTTATAATTAATATCATGTTGATAAAAAAAATGAAACTGTTACTTGAATTGTAAATTAAAAATAGGTTTGGTAGATCACTTTTTGATCATATTACACTCGAGTTTTGTCGACATTATAAAGTCATGTTAAAAAAAAATGCTGATGATAATGCACAAGATGTGAAAAAAATAAAAAAATGAAAAAGCATGAAACTCTGCTGTGTGCTCTTGTGGAGTAGCGTTATTCACGATAATCATTTATGTAATGCACATACTTATAGAAGCTCGCTTGAACACGTCGTTGAAATTTATCATGTTAACGCGGTTTGTGTTTTTTTGGTTTTTTTTTATGACGAATAATCTATCGAAGTATTATAAAACTTAAAATCATGTAAAAGCATGCGCTACTCTTGAGTACAAAATGACCGAGGGCATCGCTCGCTGCGAACAGATTTTTTTATAGAATTTAGCTGCAATATAGAACAACATTGAAAATTTTCACGTACGCTCAAGTACGTGAATTAATAATATCAATTGTTTATGAAAAATAAAAACAAAAGTGAACTGCACATGAAGGAAAACATTCATTTACATGAACCCATATCAATTGGTCAGAAGAGAAGAAGAAAAAACTGCAAAAACTTTCAGATAAGATACGGCGGCTTTTTATAACGAAAGTGTAATGCCATTCGGAAATGAATCAAAGGGATATTTGATTCATTGAATACCAATTTAAAAAAACATTTTAATCTGAGAATGATTTGATATATTAATGTTCTTATCGTGATTTTTATAATTCCAGTAATTTTTCCACAGGAAATTTTACTTTCATCTTCATGACTATTTTTTTTTCTAATACAAGTCAATCTTAGTATTTCGGTACATTTAGAACAACCATAACATATTCTTTTTATTATTTTCAATTTTTCATATTTTTTTATAGCCCATTATATAATACTTATAATATTTTTTTTGTTTTGAATGAGTATTTTTAATATTAAACGTTTAAAAAAATTTTAAATTATTTATTGAAAAAAATATGATGTAAAACTTATAATTTGAAACTGGCTCTGTCGTCAGTGACCATTTGAAAACTCATGACAAAAGCGCCACCTGCCACGCACAAAATCCGCCGTAGCCAGGCTGCACGCACACGTGGGTACTTCGGATCTTTTGGCTATGAAACTGCCGTGTCGAACGTAGCGAAATCATGGTGTGTAATTCATTTTAATAATATAAGATCGAACATTAATTTGTTTAAACTTTATTTAACTTTTCTTTGAAGTCTCTAAGTTGATAACTTCTATGCGTGATAAAGCAAATTCGTTTGCTGCACTTTGTATACTTTACAATGAAGTTTTTTGTCGAGTGTGAACAGTGAGGTTAAGGCAAATTTAGCCACACGTGCAAAATTCAGTTTTACAATTTTAGAAGTTGTTTGTTTAAAAGATGTCGATCCATCTCAAAAAATATTAGCTACGATTTCGCGAAAAATAAGTCACTAATGTTCGAAATTAAAATTTAACCTGATGAAAAGTCAAGTTCTCTATTAGGTGATCAATATGACTAATAATACTAATCATGTCCTTCATTTTTTCAGTCTCTCATAGTGCCTCCTAAATACAACCACATCCTTCGTGTTGTCGGTACCAACATCGATGGTAACCGGAACATCATGTTCGCCATGACGGCGATCAAGGGTGTTGGTCGTCGTTATGCCAACATTGTTTTGAAGAAGGCTGATGTCGATCTCAAGAAAAGGGCCGGTGAATTGACCGATGATGAGGTAAAATATCTGAATATTTTTAATAAGATAAAGAGCAGCTGCATATGAGTTTGCTCAATTTTTCATTTACTCATAAATTCATTTTCTTTCAGGTTGAAAAAGTCATCACTATCATGGCAAACCCCCGCCAGTACAAGATCAAAGACTGGTTCTTGAACAGACAAAAAGACATTGTTGACGGAAAATACAGTCAAGTAAGCATCTTTGACACAATATGTCGATATTGCATTTGTTTACATAAACAAACAGTTAGCACAATAACACGGTTGGCTATTAAACTTAATTTATAGTCGACTGGTAGCTTGTGCCAAAGAAACTGCGTAATTCTTAATATTACATTTGATAACTGCTGAAGTTTAAAAATAATTGAATGCGCAACATAAAATTTAAAATTGATTGAATTGTCTATTCTTTAATATTTATGTATTAATGCTACTGTTGCAAGACTATGCAATCACATTTAAATCATTGTTAATAAAAAACTTTTTTTTTATAGCTGACATCCTCGAATTTAGATTCCAAACTCCGTGAGGATTTGGAGCGCATGAAGAAAATTCGTGCCCACAGAGGTCTTCGTCATTACTGGGGTCTCCGTGTGCGCGGTCAGCACACCAAGACCACTGGCAGACGTGGTCGCACCGTTGGTGTATCGAAGAAGAAGTAATTCATTACTAATATATCAAAGAAGAAAACGAGTTTTCTACTGTGGATTTGGTGTATCCAAATAGATGTAATTTATTAAGAAAATCCTTATCCAAGGTGGAAATAAATTATATTTTCAATTGGATTTCAGTCTATTTTATTTACTTGTTTTATACTTTATTGGCATCATATGAACATACCATTCTCTATCAAGCAAGCCATTAAATAATACCAGTTTACTTTTAATTGAATTATAGATTATTATTATAATATTTCCTTGATCCCTATCCCTATGATTATTTAAATAATCTTTGCATTATTTTTCAAGAAGTTGAGTAGGTTTTTAAGAACAAACTTTCACTTAAAAAGTTTGTGTAATTGAATTTTTTCAATTTCCCATAAAATTAAAGAAAAGTAAAATTCTTCTACTACCAAGAACTAATATCTTTCTTTTTATTTTTAAATAGGTATAGAATGATGAAATGTGTCTTGATGAAAAAATTATTTCGTAGCAATTACGTAAAATTGATTTTTAAAATATGTATATATAGGTCTTTTTAGTGAAATACGTAAAATAAGTATTTAATGACATCGAAAACGCTACCGTAAACATCTTTTCATAAAAAATGAAAACAAAAGCGAACTATATACAAAGTGAAACATTCATCTACATCAAGTCACAATAATTAAATAGAGGAGAGAAAGAAAAATTGTAAAAACTTTCAGATAAGATATAACAATTTTTACAACGTAAGATCATGTAATATTTATAATTAAGTATACATTGTGATGCCATTCGGAAATAAATCAGAGGAATACTTGCAAGTAGAGCTTATCCGCTCGCAATGAAAATACGTAATTAAGAATGCAGATAATTTGAAAAATTTTATTATAAAAATGCACTTCATTTTACAAAATCCAGTACTTATTCGTGTTTAAATTAATAACAAAATCTCCGGTGAACTCGTTGAATGTATAAATATAAAAAATAATTAAACATCGTTGTTTCGATGCGCTTAGTTCAATCGGCTCAAAGGCTTATGAGTGATTATGGTTGAGCAGGGATTTTAAAATAAATAATAAAACGATCTTGGCACGAATCAAAGCCGAAAACTTTTCATCGATGGCTAAATGCTCGTATACATTATAAGTAAGTATATGTGTGTGTGTGTGTGTGTTTGCACGACGATGGTGGGCCAAAAAAAAAAAGTAAAAAAGCCGAGTCCATTCGAGTCAAACTGTCGTTTGTGCCGCAATCGGAGTAGAAAGTAAAAAATCGCGCTGCGAAAAGAGTACGGGATAGAGCGAAAGAGGAAAGTGCATTTCGCAGTTGGTAAAACCGAGAGCCCGCTGCTGCACTATATAGTTGGAATTTATCGCGCGGACGAAAGTTTAGTTTTCGTGGCTCGCTCAAAGCTGTGGTTGCGCAGCGGAGCTTTACGATTCTTTGTTGAAAAGTTGTTTGCTCTTTTCCTCGTTAAGTTATTTTTTTTCTCGTTCGCTTTATTTCTTTATTTACGGACCCGGCTAATCTCGCGACGATATTATCATTTAAAATTGGCTCTTATATATTGCGTGCATTTTTTACTGCGCGGCTCGATCGATGAATTGAAAGTGAAAAAAATAAAGTGGCCGGCTTGGAGAGCGAAATCGATACGGCAATCGCAACGTTCTACTAGCCGTATATCTAGTAGACAGCTCAAGCCTTGCGGGCCAGGCGCCTCAGTAGCCAATTGGGCTGTCCGTGATGATGCCTGACGCGACGCTGGTGATCCTCTTTCGACTCATTGGGCCCAAGGTCGCTCACCGTTAACGAGGCAATTTGCAATGGATATTCGAATTCTTCGGCTCTGCTCTGTTGTTGTTGTTTTTGTTGGTGCTGTTGCTGTTGCTGCTGCTGCTGCTGCTGATCCAGCATTTGTTGTTTCCTCAATTGTGCGGCCTCAAAAATGGCATAGTCGACAATACGTTCCCGAGCAGCGAGGATATCTTCGGACTCCTTGTCCACCGTCGCGGCCTTTAATTGGAGTAATTGCTCTTCCTGGCGCAGCAGTTCCTCGGTCAACCGATGCAGCTGATCGATCTCTTCGAGGCTCGCGTCCGTTCTCTATCAATTTTCAGATTTGATTTAAAGCTCCAAGCGCATAATCGAGTTGGACATAAGGCGCAGTAATTTTTTCGACATTATAAGTTATTCCGCGGCTTATGACTTACCCATATTTTTGGCTTCTCCGTCGGATAGTAAGCGTCGTAAACGATCGGTATGTGAGGCTGCTGCGCTGCCAATCTGCGTTAGATGGGACGATAGAGGAGAAAAGAGGCACACGTGTTTCAGGCCACGATAAATAATAGACCCCAAAAAAAGAGAGCAGTGTAGAAGTCAGTGCTTTAGAAAATATTCATGTTTTTACTAAGCCAGCAGAGAGGCTACTATATCTCTCTCTTACCCTTTGGCCGTAGGCAGTGTCAGTGGCAGCTTAGCTTGGGAAGCGACCGCTGGAAGCTCTGCAAGTCATGCGCGCGTATACGTACGCCGTGTCAATTAATCAGAGGGTCATGATGTGCAAATAATTCGATCTGATCGCGATCAATGCCTACCTACATATACTATAATGCGCGACGTGCAAAAAATGTTGTCTTTCTTTACCTGTTACGATCAGTACGAGCAGAACCACCGCCACGCGTAGTAGCAGTGTAGAAGGCGACGCCGACCATGCCTCGAACCTGAGAAAGCTCGATTTGACGTTCATGACGATGTATCTGATGCACGAACGGAACACGACCAAGTCACAGCCGGCGACCTGCTGATGCAGATGAGACATGAAGATCAGTAAAACGAGTGCGATTGATGAATAATTTACCCCGGTTGCAGTCTCGTGACAGAGATTCTCCAAGAGGAACTAGAGACGATGCGAAACTTTTCGCCCAGTGACGTTCGTCTTCTTCTTCTTCTTTCGACTTTGCTGCTGGCCACACGAACACATACGTGGACCGCCGCACCGCCAGCGCCCCGCGCGCTCCCTGTTAACGTGCTATACAGCCACAAGCTCGCTGCGCGCCTCTCGATCGAGAGAGAGAGAGAGCCTATTTTCGGACTTACTCGCGTGCCAAAAATAAATCAAAACGGAGAACTGCACACGTACGTTCGACTCGTACGGCAGCAATTTGTGCTTTTATATATCCACGATATATACGAGTTTTATGTTTCGCGAATCGCTGGAGCAAGCGCGCGCGCGCAGCGGCAATTTTCCTTCTATTTTTTACGATCGGCTCTCGGGGCGCGCACAGCGGTGTACTTTTTCGGATTTTTTCGGATTTAACTACCCTCTCGCTTCGCTCGTCGATGTATATTTCGTTTATTAAAAATCAGCGCGTGAATGTATTTGGATTGCTGAGGCCCGCGGGCCCGAGCTATTTTCGCCAGGCGGTTCCGTTTGCGGTGCGGTCAAGTAGGGCTTACACACGCTACGAGCGAATTTATGTATCCACATCGAAATCCAATAAATGTTGTGTAATTATACAACACTATATCGCTCGATACAACAATTTATTAAAAAAAAAAAGGATTCAGCACACATACACACTTTTTCGTGCACAAATGTATTTTTTCTCTCTCGCTAGCATGCATATACCTATATATGTAGAGCGCACAGCGAGCCAATGACTCGTGAAGATGGTTCTCGCACGTTGACAAAAAAAAAATATGTTATTCTTCGCCCAGCTTCGAGCAAACATATTTTCAGCGTCACGCGCGCGTTCATAGGATTACCGAGGAAAAAAATCGAGGGTGCAGGCTCGAGGCCGGGTATTTTACTGCGATATTTTTCTCTTGCTCTCACTCTCTCTCTCTCCCAAATCGTTGACCCCGAACTGATCTATATGTACGTTTATGCGTGTGTACGGATGCGGTACGTACTGGCGGATAATATTGCTGCGATCGCAAAAGTGCAACGGAGTCAATTATTCAATTTATAACTCTATTAGTGCTTGCAAGTAATATTATTTAATTTGCATTATTTGAGAAAACATTGGTTGATTCGACCAGAACATTAACAATATAACTCATCAGCTTGGATTAATTATAAATCAACTGTGCGTGTCTAAATGATAAATAACGGTAATAAAGTAACATGATTATTGTATAATAAAAAATAAAAGGCGCCGCTTCTAGGTTTCAGTAAAATTATGTCTTTGAGAGGGCGCATCGGCAGGATCCGTCGACGCAGTACTTGCCCTTGTCACCGCCGGGGATGCTTCCGACGTGCTTGCAGGCGGCCTTACACTCGTCCTCGGTACATTCTGCAACACACAGAGACAAAAACGCACAGGAGTCACACATGCTACCTTGCGGTATACGGAAGGGGGTACAAAAAAATTTGGCAGCTTTCCACAGCTGCGTGGAAATTGTCGGGGATGGAAAAAAAATATACATATGTATATGCTTACTCGCTTGGGCGCCCGCGACGAAGAGCAGGGCAACGACGAGGAGCCAGAGGTAGCGCAAAATCTTCATGATGAATATCTGTAGGGAGTTGCGATCGTCGACACTGAGCACAAATCAATAACGCTCATCTATTGACACTCCGTCGCTTTTATATCGAAATGCGTCGTACGCGCCGATGAACTCTATCCGATTTGACTCGAGATGACCCCGGGGCATATTAACCCGAGACACTTGATTATCTATTTTAGCCTGATTAGAAGCTCGTTCTACGCCGTATATTATTATGACTTTGGAGGAAAGCCGAGGAAGAAATTCCATCGCCGAATTATATATATAGCTCTCAAGAATAGGAGTTCAAGGCTCGAACGATAACTGCATCGCTTGTTTTGCGTGTTTATCATACGCGATGCGGCGACGAAAAAGGGGAGAAAAAAATAAAGAAGAAGAAACGAAGTGCATAAGCTACGCGAGAGTACGTTCCAACTTACTCTTAACAAGTGGGTCAGCTCCGATACGAGTTGTTAACTTTATATTTTGCATCGCGCGCGCGCGACGTGTAAACAAGTTTACTATTCTATTTCTGTTTTCTTCTTTCCTTTTTTTTTTGTCAAAATACAAAGACGTTTACCTTTTCCTTACACTCACCCTCTCACTCTCTCTCTCTCTCTCTTCTCTTGATCCTTATCGAGTGCGAAAAGCACACGAGTACCCGCGCGCGAGCTTATATTTGAACAACAGCTGATAAAGAGTGAGAGAGAGAGAGAGAGAGAGAGAGAGAGAGAGAGAGAGAGAGAGAGAGAGAGAGAAAGAAACTGTGGATGTAGGTGTACCGTGTAGCAGTCGTCACCTTTACGAGCGCGTATAAACAAACAATTGCCCCCCCTTTTTTTGCAGCTCGTTTCCTAGTTCTGCAGTCGAGACACGTACTTCATTTTCTCTCTCGCGCGCGGTGCGGAGGTAGCGTCACTGATATACACGTACGTTTTCGCAAACACCATACACATACACAGTCCACAGGGTTGGCGCGCGAAATTAAGTGATATACTTCGGTGACGATATTGTTCGTCCACGCGGCTCGGGCTCTGTAATATGTAAGTCGTGCCGGGAGTCGATTGACGGCTACAGCCAAGCCAACCTATATTTACACGCCTCGGCTGTGCTTTAGCTGTTGTGCGTACATTATGCACGAGCGACGGTTGAGAAAGAGATTCGTTTCATCGACATTTTATTCTCGCTTTTTTTTCGTTTATTTTCGAAAAGGTCTTCGAGTCGATGGACTCGCAAATCTGCCTCTGTCCATCTCTAAATGTAAGACAATCGATCGAATTCGAATGAATAGAATTACGCGCCAGCCAAAATTTGCAGCAGCTTTGATGGATATTTAAGCAGGTTTATTATTAATATCAAAGCGATCCTCAAAATTGATGCGTTATATTACTTCACCAATGTATAGGAAACCATATTGATGAACAGCAGCTCAATCAAATTTAGCTAATTGTGTTGAGCTGTATGAGCCCAAAAATATAGTCCTCACAACTAAATGTTGTATCGTTGCTACAATATTATAAACGTTGAACTGTCGGAATGTTGCTAGATTCGTTTTAATAAATATTCTGGTTATGTTCACTTACAAACATGTGATATTGACGTGACGTGATTCAGTTCACATTTGTTGTCATAGAAAAATATTGAGCTGTATCGACTCAAAAAATTGCGTTGGCGGAATTACACATCGAATCGAGCTCGTATAACCCGAGATTGAGCTCTGCTAGCTCAACATGGTTTCCAGTATACCTGCCTGTGTCTAACTCTGACGCAAAATTACACTTAATCGCTCCTATTAATATCTCCGATATGATGCATCGTTACCAAAATCTATGTAATATGCCAATTGATGAATGATCGCGATTAGATCGCCAACAATAAACTAATTATTTTGCGTACCGCTTTGCATCAGAACGCAGCTTTTCTGTTGGAATGAAAATAATTTCGCGCAGAAAAGTTGATTTTTCATTGCAACGCACTTTTTCATTTAAAATTGCTATACCTGCGTGTACGTACTGAAACTTCTTGGCGCTCGACTACTTATCATTCGGAACGACCGTATCAAAGATTTAAAAAATTGTCGACTCGATTATTTCGAAAGTTCAGGCTAGAGAAGAGAAAAGTACGGAATTGTTGACTCTGCGTGTAGCTGCTTTGCTCTCGAGCTCGTACTTGTTGACGTACATAAATTATTCACCTTACATTGGCTTATTTAACTTAGCTTGATCATTTTGTTTTTACTCTTTGATTATATAGTCAATGATTTGCATTTGTTCGTTGCAAAATATTTTGCAACATTTTACGTAATGTGCTATGACATATTTTTAATTAGAAGTTGAGTTTTTTGGAAAAAAACTCTGTTTAAGGCTTGGAACAATTAACATCATATTCTGTGGATATACGATCCGTTGTAGAGTACATGGTTCTATCAGTTTAAACTCTTTTGCGTATCACTCGGGTTAATTAAAAAACTAATTTTTAAAATTTATCAGACGCTTCGAAGCGTCCTCTCTAAACTTTTAGTTAGTTTAGTCTTTGTTGTAGACGGAATAAAAATGAGAAATAGCGAGCTTAAAAATAACCTGCAACGTCAACTCGTTTGCATTCGAGAAGTATTAATACAAAAATGCAGAGTCAGATTTTTGACATTTTTTTCATAATGAACGTGTTTCATAAAGCAACGTCTCTTTTGTATAAGCATACAAGGCATCGAAAATTTAATTTGAAAATATGTGGCGCTTAATAACAATTCAGTTAGAGTAATCCTCGTCGAACAAAACGTTACACTAGTTAAAATGAGATGAAGCACCGACTCCAACGTTCGAACTTCATGTAGTCGAGTTGTAAGTGAATGGATCCCACCCGCGCCCTCGTACGTAGTCGTACGTGTGTGTGTATGTGTGTATAAGACTTAATTAATTTTGCATTGAAGTTATGGATGAAACGGGCACATAGAGCTTGTGTTTGGAAAAGCCTTAAAAGCAAAGCCACGCGCTATAATTCCGGCTTTAAGGAGGTTCGGGAGTCTCAGAGGGGGACGAAGCGGGACGCGAGGGGCTCCTATACTTCCAATGTTAAATTTTCAGCGCTGCCAACTTCGAAATAACACGAAATTGTAGGTTTTTTCAATGAGCTGGCACACAATTATAGCTATTATTAATAATTCAATCATTTTGATGAGTTTTTTTCGATTTTTTAGGCTTATAACAATACTCTATTTGTCATTAGAGTCGAATGAGCACATATTTTTGTTGTTCTAGCTCATTTGTTGGTTAGGGTACGCGCAAATGACCCACGAATTTTTACACATAACAATTTATTTCTCGATAACTATACGGTCGATGAACTTCTTTTTGCAGTCAAATTATTCCTTATTAAATTTCCTACATGTACGTATTTTTTTCTATTTAGTTTTTGTTTTTTTACATTATGTTTATGCTCATTGAAAGCGAAAATTCATGATTTCTCGTAAGAAACCATGTTAAAAGGTCAAAAAATTTTTTCATCATTTTAACAAAATTTTGCGGTGAAAAGTTGTATTTTAATATTAACATTCATATTATAAAGTTTCAAAGCAATTAAACGTGTTTTAAAAATTTGGCTGCATTTCGCTGAGACTCCCGAACCTCCTTAACCCCCTGCACCGCACACGCGCTACCGTGCGTTGTTTGAGTTTGAAATATCTCTTTTTCTCCATCCTTCCGGCAAAAGTATTTGCTTTCACCGTACGCGTAGCCTAGAAAAAGAAGTACTTTTGCCCACTTCTGCGTGTCCGACAGATGCAGTGGTTGCTGTGGCCAGCTCAGCATAGCAACGTAATATTTATCATTTTATCGCCCGTATTACTCAGCCTACAACTTGTCGAAGACACATCAATACTTAGAGGCGTTATATTAATTACGTGGTAAAAATTATGCAGAGTCCTGAAATATTATTCGCGCATGATGGTATGTCTAGGGACGAGAAAGAACGTTGTGTGTAACTTGTTACACACAAATCAAAATGAAAAAATGTTTTTTATATTAATGTTATTGATGCTCACCCCCCCCCCCCCCCNNNNCCCCCCCCCCCCCCCGTCCCCCGACGAGCATCACTCGCTTCGCTCGTAATGCTAATATCGGGGCGAGCATCAAAATTCGAAGTTTAATTACAAAGTCATATTTTAAATTTTAGTATGACTCGCTACGCTCACAATGCTAAAAGTGAAGAAAAATAATTCGCAGCACATGTAACTGATTTTATGTAAAAGTCAATAATAACCATAATCGCTTTGTTTTCTGCACAATCAGACGGCAAATCAAGACCTCGATGCGAAAGAAAAAACAAATGCAAGTCCGTATGTGCATTGAAATCTTGAATTTATTTTTTCATTTTGAATTTATTTGAATAATTTTATGAAAACTTTTGTTGATATGATTATCACGTGCATGCGGAAGTTTCATTTCTCCCCCTTATAAGAAAATCTACTATTTAGCCCGCGATTGAAAAGGACACTATACGCCGCGTGTCTGTTGTACTTTGGGTTATGCTCTCTTGAATGAATATATATTTCCATCCCTTTGTTCTCTTTTCTAAATTTTGAGGAATAATAAATTCATATGCCACCCATTGAAAGGTTTGTGAAATTTCGAAATTCGCACAATCGAAATTTCATTACGTGAACATTCAGTACGTGTGTATAATAATATGTGGCTCAGCACGATGAAGTTGTATCACTGAAAAACTTTGTGGATAGCAGCTACGCTAACCGAGTAAATTCTATTTTAGATTACATACAAAGATTCTATATTCGTTGAAATGTAACATCTATCCGACTTTTAATATGCTGCCTTGAACATGTCACCTCCAAGTAAACTCTTACTTGAGCTTCTCGATAGTATAATCTATTCGAACAGTCGGCTAAATTTTCTGATAAAAATTATTATAAATAATGGCCAAATGAACAAAAATTACCATTTATAAATATTTTAAAGTGCAACAACATAAATTAGATGGTTTTATGCAATTTTTCGTTACAATTATGTAAATTAAATTCTCCCTACTAGATGGCTAGTACACTTATCGGTAAATCTGTAAGTGCCAAAGTGAAAACAATTGT